ACCATCGTGATTAGCCTACTATACAAACTTTCTACACAGACCAAGAGGCGAGAGCCCGTTAGCTTAGCTTCTACAGAAACATGGCTGACACGATCTTTTACATTCTGTGAGTGAGATCCCGTCCCATATGGGTGTGGTGAAAACATGCGGAACACTGGCTGTAGTCTTTAGCCTCTGGCCCAAAAATCCTCAGATGAAGCAAAAAGCAAAATCATTTTTCTCTCATATCAGGGGATATGAGGGGGGGAAGCACGGTAATTCGAAAATACTACTGGTTTTCTACTGATGCAAAGCTTAATGCTAAATCCTGAAGTATCCCTTTGAGAAAATATAAATATGAAACCATCCATCTCATATTTACGACTCATACATATTTTATGGTAGTTTTCACAAAAAGTAATTAAAGCACCTAAAACAATCAGAAGAGACATTCATGATGTGGAATCATCATTATGTTTCTCTCCTATCCATTTAATGTTAACAACTACTTTTGTCGTATTTATTTTAGTCTTAGCAACAAGAATGCATGTCAAAACATGGTCCAAAATGGATGGGCTTCCAGTAAACATGGCAAGCTGATGGAATTTGAGTGATGGACGTAGACCAGGTGAATGCTCACAATCTCAGCCATGTTCTTGAGCGACAAAAGATTGACCCAGAAACACTTAATGCTGGAGAGGGCCACTGGACTCCTGCCAAATACTATATCACAAAGATTCTGGGCCAAAGAGAAAAAGAGAAAGGGCCTAAGCAACCAATGAGGTGGCTGCCAAAAGGACAGGAAAAGCTTCTGAAAATTACTCTGTCAAGAGGAATTTTGTCGTTTATTGTACCCATTGAAGTAGACCGCCAAGATGCATGTGTTTTCTTGCTCTACAACGCTTGTTTGTATAGCATCCAAGAAGAACCAACCTGACATGCTTCCACGAGTCTACGAATGGATAGGGGGAGGAGGAGGAGAGGGATAACAGTGGTAAAACATTTTTTTCATCCTGCTTAAAGATGAAGCCCCTGCCTCCTTAACCACATGTTGTGTAACGGATTAGTCCGAACCCACACAGACAGAGCACTTTGTGCCAAGGCTGTTTTTAACTGCCTCTGTTATTTGTCGAGCACATTTTTCTATTGTTGGTCTGACTAAATAGTAAAGAGCGACAAAAAACACACAACATTCCTTGGCTATTGAAGTCCTCACAGGAAGGCCTGATCCAGCAAAGAGCACAACAGAGGTCATGCAGTCACAACAACACTTTCACGTGCCACCGTAAAGCCTCAGAAGCGAGGTCGATGTTTGCAGAGTGTCTCACCACCACCTTGAATGATGGCTTTAGAGATTGGTGTTGACGTTGGCTTGACTAAGTGTGTGTGGGAAGTTTAAGGTGACTATATCTACCTCACAGAGGGATGATAGAGGGAAAGCCTAAGGCTACCATGGCTAGAGAAACTAACCCAAGCTGTTAAAAGTTGTTCAGAGATATGTTGCCTGTCCCATGGACCACCCCCGGGTGAGTCTGCAGTAATGTATGCTGCTGTCAATGGATGTTTTAGTATGGATGTTTCTGTACTGTATGGCTGTGTAGTGTGCTCATTTTCTCCCAAGAACACTGTCAATGTCCTATCACATTGATTGACAGCCTCCCCGCCCCCATGCCACCAGTTCTGCCCCCCCAGCTCATGAACTTTTTATAAGGATGACAGGGACATGTGTTCATCTTCAGTGATTGCGTCCGATATCTTAAACTATTTTAAACCTCACTCTCTTGCAAACTTGGCCCTTGTTTAGCTATTTTTTTCCTGCTGCTTAAGCCTTGACTTAGTCTTCATGCCAAGCTTAAACCCTATAATTTAAACAGTTGGTCTAATTCCATTTGAACAGCCCAAATCATCAGAGATGATAAAAAATGGATAAAGACGAAAACAAACTAAAGCCATCTCCCTCCCCCGGGGAGGTGTTTAACACATTACCCTCGGCATTAGCCAGCATGTCTTATTCAGAAGGTTTGTCTGTGTTACAAGGATGTGAATATTCTATCACCTCCTTGGTCGGAAGAAGGGGGAAAGGGGGAAAACATACAACACTTGGATTTCTATTTTGTAATCAAACCACGGAGTGGCCGCAGATATCATTGTTTATTTATCTTTGATCCCAATTTAGAGCAAAAGGTCTTTACACATGAGACATTGAGTTATGAGGTAGGAAGGTTTGTACTTCTCCAAAATCTACCTTTCGTACTCCTGTCTGACTGGCATTGATAATAGATTTATCTCGAGTCACTGAGGCCTCGAAAAGGCCAAGATCCTTCACTCACATCAGCGCGCCGTGAGAGAGAGAAAAGTGCGAGACAGGCGATAACAGAGATAACTTTTGAAAAATTAGCCCTATTGATTTCTGCCACGCTTTCGCATCTGGTTAACTGCCTTGTCGGGCGGTAAAGACTTTAATAGGCCCGCAGTCAGTCATGCGGTGACAGATTGTGGGCTCGGGCCCATTTGACTAAGCAGAGTTTGGGGAGGGAAGATCTGATGGAGGACCCCCTCTTTCCTGCAGGGAGGGAAGTTAGAGGGGGATAAAGATAGGTGATAGATAGCCCAAGGAAGGGATTTATGTCTGGATGGACGCCTCCGCAAACGTCACAGGGTGTTAGCTATGGCACATGCTGCTCCTGTCTCTACCCACCCTTTTCTCTGACAAGTCCTGCAAAACTTTCCCTGCTGACAGGCTTTCTTTTGCGCACTAGACAGGGAGTGAAATCTTTTCTCGTGTCTGGGAGAGAAAGCTCCTCGGAGAATGTCACTGTTGGGGTGTGTGTGGCAGGGTCTTTATTAATTAACCTTCATGTGCCCTTCCTGGCCAACATGTTCCCAAGCAGGTCTCATCATGAGCTTGATAAAAAAAAAAAAAGGTGTGCCATAACAACAAGGCTTTTCATGTATGTAGTACAGTCCAAAAACTTGAATTTCAAGGATTTTTCAATGGGTTTTTATAATGGAAGTGTCAAAGGTCTGCGGTAAACATTACTTGTAAACACTTCTACAACATAAATTCAACACAGTTATTAAAATTTGATACCATTTTGCCTAAAATTAAAATGACTCAAATTAATCATTTTAAATGTTAAAAGTGAATTTAACCATCACAACATTCCAATGAAGAGTATGAAAATGGATATACATTTGGAGATTTAACAGTGTGAATAAATCAAGATCAAAAAACACAAATGTTTTCATAATATACACTGCAGCATCACCTCTTTTCTCACAATGTTAAAACTAGGGATGTCCCGAAACCTACTTTGCTCAGACTGAGATGGTCCAGTTTTTTGCGATTGGTTTATCGCTTACAGAGTGTGCCGGAAATAAAAATACCATTACCATATCGGAATTTCATCTCCGGAGGCTTCCTCAGCACTTGAATACACAGTGATACGAACATGTTGGGCGAAAAAAGAACTAAACTCTTACAGGCCTCAGCTTAAAACTACAGTGTGCAAGATTGTAATTTGTTTCAATTGAACGTTCGCAAAGACTAGCCCCCAGTTACTGTTGCTATGTCTGACAAGCCATGCCACTCTCACGCCACACATCATGTTCTCACGCAGTGAAAAATACATGGCTGAGCAAAGAGGACACTGACAACATGCCGAAAGACAGGACAAACTAGGTTACTTTTGATATGAAACAAAGTCTCAACTTTCAATTTTGGTCCTTTTTTAAAGAAATTTAAACAAATACCATTTTGTGGCTCTTTAAAGTGTCATGACAGATTGCTGTAGCACCTTAGGTAAAGCTGCTTGTGAAACAATCATCTGTTCTTTCTAGTTAATTTATAGCATCGAATAAACATGAACATCAGAAGAAATATTTCTTCAACCGCAGAAAGATGTCCGTACACACCGTTCGTCAAGTTCAAATCCACAGACATTAATCAATTAACTCACCTGACTGTTTTGTCGGACAAAATGTCGGATTTGGTGGATGGTGGATTATGATTGGTCAGATTGCCTGTCAATCAAACTCCCTGCAAATGGTGAATTTAAACCTACATATGTTAAAGCAGGAAATAAGATGACTTACTGATGACATGTTTCAGGCAGTTTAGAATCGGCTAGTTATTTGGGAAACAATAACTCAATTTGTCCTGAACTTTGATCTTTGAAACTTTGAAGACCTTTTACATTCACAAACAGCTATAAAAAAGATTGTATGAAAAGTAATATCCGAAAAAAGCATAATAGGGGCACGTTAAGTGAGTGTTAGATTACGGAAAAGTTCATCTATAAGTAAAAGTAGAGAAAATGAGCATGTATAGTTAAATACCAAGTATCTACCAATATTATAGATATCTATCAAGTATCACAGACATTATTTTATTCATAAATTGATACAAGAAATTGGAGGAAATTCCAGTCCATGGTGACTTAGCTCTTCCAGTTTGCCAACAATTTTACACCACGACTAAACGTCTCTGCACATATGCAATAAAATTTAACATGTTAGCATCTTAGTCAAAAAAGCACAGCAAGCGCTAGAGCAGATGTCTTCCACTCACAATAATGTATGCTTACAAGCTAATTTTATCCCAAACAAGACTTCAAAGAAGCTTAGCATTTGTCTGAATGGAGTGACGAGTCGCTGTCTACCTCAGGTTAAATTTAGCATGATAGCATCTTTTGCTATCCAAGCAAGTCTTCAAAAGGCATTTATCTGAAAGGAGAATGCTAGAGCCACTGAGTTCCTCGGGTTTTTTCAGATGTTTACTCTGGCTACACAAGTCACTAGGGGCGGAAAATGGACTGAAGGGACAAAATGTAATGTAATGAATACAAAGCCAGCAGACACAATCTGCACAGTATGTTCAAACACAGCATGCATCACGACAAATACAATACGTGCAAAACAGGACAATTGTGGAGCCCTCGGTGACGTACACTGTACACACACATACCCACACTGACTGTTTTAAATTATTGAGTATCACTGCGTGCGGCATTGGCAATAATGAAATGCTGGAGAAAGGATACAGCGGTGGTGTAGCTCTGACTCTGGCAGTAGTGAATGACAGCTGATAATGAGATGTTTTGATACTGAAGGTGAGGGAAAGCTGGAGAGAGACAGCGCCTGTGTGCCTCTATGACTCACACACATATCTGAGAAACTATAACTCCTGTCTCCTTCCTTTCACCCTCTCTCTGTTCTTTCTCTCTCCGCAGGAACTAGGAAGCACTACCTTGGTTTCATCAAAACACTTATTTATAAGCATGGCAGGACAACTACATCATTCATCATTGTTTTCATCAGAGATGAAAGAGGTTGGTGCAGTAGAGATCTGCTACCCGACGGGCCCATAAGAACTCACGGGTTTCGGGTCGGGTTCCGTTTGTGTTTCTAATCTGTGGCGAGCGATCACTGTTTCCTGCATCAATGGTTTCACCATAAAAACGTCTAGAAGATGGGCACGATTGTTGGGAATCTGCTTGCGTGAAATGCTAAGGAAGGTGACATGCAACAAAACACTCTTTGGTTTTAAAATGTTTTATCCACATTGTACCATGGTATTCTTTAAATATACTGTGTAAATAACATATAAAATATGTACAAAATATGTAATAATAAAATAATATACTGGGTATGGTAACAGTAATACACTTACCAGCCCGTTCTCATCCTTTAGCGTCACATAGAACGCTATATGACAAAACAACGCTATACTACGCACATGGCACCCTTTATCGTTAATATTCACGCGAACCCAAGGCGTCATAAATCCTTTAGCGTAATATGAGACTACCCTACCCTACCCCACACCTAAACCTAACCATCACAGCGCGTGTTATATTAACGATAACGGGTGCCATGTGCGTATAGCGCCGTTTTGTCATATAGCGTTCTATATGACGCTAAAGGATGAGAATGCGTTGCACTTACCAGGATGCAGTGATAGTATCAGATGGTGATATTCATTTACCATGGTATTTACATGGTAGTACAATGGTATTTATTGTAACGCTAAACAATAAGTACCATGGTATATAATATATTACAATATAATAATATAACTTTTTTTTTTTTTTTTTAATTAAAAATGTAACCTAGAGTCTTATGCTGCGTCCCATTTCGTCTACTTACACTACGCCCTAAAAGTATGTACTCTTTCTGTGAAGAGTAGGCAAGCTTTGGGACATACTACTTCGTCATCTTTAATGGACAGCTCTGTCGCGTGCATCCTATCACCGTAAACTGCCCTGTCAATCAAATTTCCACAGTTAAAATTCTCCATTCAATCTAATTTAATTTCATTACGAAGAGAAAAGTTGAAACACAGGTTTTTCAAGCGGAGACTCTCCTCATGTGTTTGCAATTTGAATGTAATGATGCATTTAAACGGTAATGGCTAAATCTATCTTTATAAAAGTTCACAATATTGCTGCAGATGCAATATAATGTAGCCAACATTGAATAAATACATTTTCGTCAGGTTAGATACTGATTAATAATCACTCAAACCCCTTTATCTAAACCTCTCTACATAACCCCCGGACTCGTGCTTCCTCCATGTCTGTAGTTTTTTTTTTTTTTTTTATAACACTTTTCACTCTTGTTTGTAGTTCTAACCGAATCCTCATCCAATCGGTTGTGGCCAATGGGCTCTATGCACGGCGTTATTTCCGGTGAAGGATTAAGGATTAAGTCCAATGCAATACCGAGAATTTATATTGAATTTTATACTCCATGGTTATACTAATGAAACGTTAGTCACAAAAACAGATAAAACAGACACCCCTCGTTGTGTTTATGCTTCTTTTTAAAATTATATTAAATAAACATAACTATATATAACATTACATCTAAACGTATGTACGTTTCGTTTCAAAGACGGGAGGACAGTAAATATTGAAGACTCTGCCATAATCCCGTTTTCTCCGGTTTTCCTCCGCTTTAATCTACACAACCGGAAATGGACGAGCATCCTTACGTCAAATGCGGAACTTATGCGTGCATATAGCCCATATTAGCCGTTAAAGTGTGCATCGATCTGCACTTTGGATTCTGACCGAAAATAGCAGACCATCCAGGTATCTTTGGAACACTCATTTCAACACACCACGATTTGGGACGTCCTAATTCTATTTTTGAATACTATTTAGGACGGATAGTATGCAAATTGGGAAGCAGCATTAAACTAAGTTCACACTGTGAGCCTTAGTGCTCCATTCCGATTTACAGCTCAGATCCAAAATTTTCACATTGTTGTTTTAAATGTGCAAACAGATCATGGTTCTAAACTGACCATGCGCATGCGCAAAAGTACGTTAAAAAGACGTCACGCAAACACAGAGGACATTAAGCAAGCAACTTTGCGTTTATTTATAACATGATGCGCCAGTGGATTTATGCACAGGCAATATACTTCTTTTTTTTTTTTAAAGATGAGGATATGAAAAAGAAGAGAGCAGAGTTTTTAAACATTTATTTTACGGACATTCGTGTTTTGCATCACTGCATCACATCACTGTCCTTCACTGACTACCTTTCGCAACTGTTTCGATAAGTTTGGTTTCGTAAAATATTTGAAGTGACTGCCATGAGCCCAGAATTGTGACGACCGTTGACCTACGGTAACATTAAAATCGCGTGAATTCCAATATGTTCAGTCTACATTGCAAAACATCTGACCTGTATCAGATTTAGTACCACATATGAAGGCATATGATGTAATGTTAGAAATACACCACCAACAACAACCAGCGCACCATGGAGGGGTTTGCATTGCAATACAGATGTTGTCTTATTTACAGCATGACAATGTGTAACCGAAAAACAGATCTGGAATACTGTGTCTTATCAGGCAGCAGCAGAAACACCTACGTCACCAGAGAAGTTAAAATGACACATCATGGTAAAAAAAATAAATAATGCATATGTGAATAACTCACAATAAAATAAATAAAGAAAATGGGGGAATGTCCATTTAATGTTGACATTTTAATACAAAAAAGCTGAGTCTAGCTATGAGTAAATCTCTTGTCCTACAAACAGAGCAAATTGTTTGTCCCGTATGTAGACAGACATGCTCTCTATTCAGAGTGGATAAGGTTTAAAGTCCAGCCTGCAAAACTGGGGTATGATTCAAAGGATCTGCCAATACCAGAGGGCCTCCTTTAATATGCCTAAATGAGAGCAAGACAAAAAAACAAGGTCATATCTGATCTAGCACCCTCTATTCAACGGCAGCCCTCGATAGAGCCGGGCCTGTATTTAAAGAGCTCTGCTCGCTTGGATGAAGCAGGGAGTATAACACTATTGTCAACAAGCTATAGGACAGAAACAATACATGCTATATTTAAACTCTAATGAAACCAAATTCAGAATAAATGCTCACGGTGGGAGGGAGGAAACAGCTGGGAGCCTGAAAGTAACTCTTAAAAGTAAGAGAGAGAGTGAAGGGAACGAAAAATAGGGAGAGAGATGGAATCCATCCTGAAGGTGAATTTCATGCCAGTAGATGTGGACAAAGGAGGCGCTGATCTGTGACTATTAGGACCTGTAAAGAGAGGTCTAGTTAAATGAAGACAGCCTTGTAAAAGAGTGATGATAGAGTGAGAGAAAGAGAGATGTAAAGGATGAGGAGTTCAAGTCATTTGATTATGTTTTAGAGAAAGGAGGAGAGAGATGAAAGCAAAGAGAAGGATATAGGGATGGAAGGATAGATGGGTGGAGAGGGACATAGATTGAGAATTGTGCAGTGGATAAGGCCTCTGACAGAGGGAGCCCTGAGGCACAGCATTTTAAGACAGAGGAATTAGCAGTTCATAGAGGATTTTATACAGTAAAGGCCGCTGGATGGGGGAAGAGCACAGGAAGAGTGCACAAATGCAACCTACTTACAAAGAAATAGTTAAAGGCATGGGGTTAAATTGGGAAAGAACGATCCAGAACGGCCCAACACCCAGAGTGCTGCAACTCTCAGTTCCATGTTCACCACTATTTGTTTCCATATAAGCAGCAAGAAAAAAATCCCATTCCCAATGATTTCTAGAGATAATATATTAAGACAGACCTACCAGGAGCTCCGTGATTGTAGGACACAATGTGCTTCTGGATAAACCACAAGTCAGCTCAGCATGTCTTCACTTAAAAAAAATATTGTTCACAATTTACATTTTACCCAATATGCGTAATCCCGAGGAGAGATCCACCAATCAAAGAAGTCTGTTTCTGTGGAAACAGGAATTGCTGCAAAGGAGCTCAACGGTGACGGCCCACTCCCATAAATCATTACGAATGACGTAATCGAGTCAGTCTCTCTTCAATCTCAAACTATAGATGTTGGATATCTTCCAATAACATCCAGTACATAATTCGTAATGCTTCAAGGGATTGATGAGTATTTCAATGTCTCATAAAAGGCAGTCTAGTGCTTTTGTCTTTTTTCAGACTTTCAAATATGTTTTTTTTTTTTTTTTGGCTTTGAATGAAAGGTTTAATGTTGTGATTCATCTCAGAGCTGGTTGGTTTGGTTCAAGAACTCTTTATTGAAAAACTTTGAAATGCCTATGGAGAAATGTACAGAACAAAGACTGCTTAAAAGTAGACGGTCACAGTTGAGCTATTTTTTACTACGAAGAACCACAAATCAAACTTGATTGAGGGCCGTGGGCCAAAAATACAGTAAATGCTGCAAAATATAACATTTTGTTTGCTTTGTTGTATTTTTTTAATCAAGTCACTTATATTCTCTACATTTGCATGCAAAAATAAAACAAACAAAAAGATAAATTAGAAATGAAGATACGTTTCAGTGGTACGTTTTCCCCCCTATTATTTCCTGCCGTCATTACAGGATATTTTTCAATTGTATATACATCGAAAGAAATACACTATTTTAAAAAAGGTTTCAACCAAAACAGTTTTGTTCAGCCTGATTCCAATAACCTTTTTAAGCTCCACACAGAAAATAATGTGTGTTTTGGTGCTTTAAAGAACATATAATCAAATCAACACATCATCAATTGACATATAATCAAATCAAAACGAACATCAATGATCTCTAAATCTAAGATTCTAGAATTAACCATTATTTTTAAGAGTGTGTTTGTTAATTGACAGGATTTTCAGGATTTGATGGGTGTTTAATGTTTAAAAATGAATAGTTAGGTGAAAAAAAAGCCAGCAAATAACAATTAAAATATGTGTAATAAAATGTAATAATGTAATACTTTTACATTAATTTCTTTCTGGGCTCTCTACAACAGCTGAAATATGACTCATCATTCATTCTGGAGAATATCCCCAAGGGCCCCAAACATGATGTGCTGAGAGACTTCTTCACCCGCTCTAAGCCCTCCCTCCTGAGCTTACCACCTGCGCAGGTAATTCAGAGTAAATTTCCACTGCCTCTGCTGTTAAGAGTCTGTCATCGGCACTCTTAACCCAAGGAGTTTCTTTTTCTGACAAAGTGTTTCCTGACAATAGACAGGCCCAGCACCAGCACCAATGACACTGATGTGGGGCCTGCACAAACCTGAAAGCTAGACAAACTGCTTCAATACTGGGTCAAAATGGGCAATTATGCTATAGCTACAAATGAAAAAAGAAAACAATTTGAATAGGCATGCACCAATATTAAAATTCTGGCCAATACAGATAATTGTTTTCATGTCGTGGCCAATAACAAATAAATGGGTAATATTTAAATTCATTACTATTTTGCATGAATAAATAACATAACATTAAAAGTTTAAATTAATCATTTCAAATACTAAGTGAAGCAGGCATCACAACATTATAATGAAATAAAAACTGATATTGATTTTGATATCTGCTAAAGATGTGTTGTTTAAATCTTAGTGTTTTTAAAGATTAACTTTAACTGAGTGTTATGGTGCTAAAAATAGGTTAAAATGTTCCATATCAACTGATATATTTCCAAAACCATCTAATAACCGAAATGAAACCCATAAATTGTGCATCCCTGATTTGAAAATTCAAACATTTTAGCAATCAACATGTTTGCTTCTGTGTGCACTTATAGATCAAAATTCCTGGCTGACTGAACCAAAGTCATTTTCTTTTTCTTGTCTCTTTTTCCCCATGTGAGGTCCATCAGGTGAAACCCTGCACTGCACAGGGTAATGCATACAGCCCACCTGACCCTTGAGCTTCTATCGGTGTCTCTCGACTGCTTCCATTTCAGCCAAAGCAGATGAGAGCCCCAGCTCTGCTGTAACCCAAACACCCCTCACTTTATAATACATAACCAGAGTCTTTTCACTGAAAAATGCATACACATGCCTGGTCTGGGTGTGTATATGCTTGTCAGACTGTGTAACAGATATGTACCTACATGTAGTTAGAGGCTATACAAACAACAGGGGTATGTTAGAGTTTGTTTAGATGTTTTGCTAGAACCTTTTGACATTTTGTAATATTTGAAAGGAAAAAAGATATACGTAAATCAACAGTTGTGTGAAAAAAAAATAAATAAGATGGATGTTTTTACACCCAAGAGGGGAAAATAAACATTAATATAAATGAAAAGATCATTTAAATAAATTTAAATCTTTCATTTCAACTCTAACCAGAAAAGTGACAGATTAACATTTTGTAATATAAATGATCTAAACTGAATGTTGTAACTTCAATCAAATCTAATATTATTAAATGTGCATTTGTTTTATATGGAAAATGCTTTATCTTCTAAATAGAAGACTAAATACTTTTTTGTGTGATCATAAAAGCTGAGATTGGCATAGTATTAGACCTTATGCACAGTTTTGCCCTCAAGGCATTTATACATCTTATAGGCAACCATAACCAACCAAGACACCTGCTTCACAACAGCAAAATGAAACACCATACATTACAATTCCTGTCACTCATAAAACCAGAATGGGCCCTCGTCACTATTACATCCATCCATTCAGGAATCAGCAGCAGCCGGTCACAAGCTACCATAAAGTCTCACACGGACATCAACACATACAGACCAGACACCTAAACATTTAGCTTTGCATATACTATGTACTGGACTGCATTCATCAGTCAGATACATAAGGGCAAAGACAGCACTTTAATTAAATCTGAAAAAGCTTTCAATTAGTTAGTCTAGTCCACGGCTGGGCAGGAAGGCTCCGTGTCAGGAAGCTGACTCATAAAGCACAAAAACTTTTTGTTGTTTTTTTTTTCCTATCTGCTTGCCTCCCCTCCCTTTAGGGGAAGATGTGTCTGCTGAATGAGATCTACCAGTGATTAAAAATGAAGTGAGGGAGAGGACGACTAAAAAAAAAAAAAGCACAGGCCATCTGACCTGTGAAGCGATTGCGCTTCCGGCCCTGGACACAACCCGTGGTGCCTATTGACACCTAGCTCCCCAGCGTGGGATCAATGGTGCTAAAAGACACTGAGAAGCAGCAAGAGACACTGCAAGCATCCTACTCCGAAAGCTTTGCCTTCATGTTTTGCGTAGTTTATTCAGTTTGTGCATTTAATTTATTCAGTTTTTGCATTTAATTTGGGTGTAAAGTATTCATATTCCAATCCCAAAATTAGCATTTGTTCAAAGTTCAGCATGAGCTCACCAGCAGAAAACAGCAGCAGCTGTTGCTGAAGCTCACCTCCAAATCTCCACTTACGATAAAGTTTGACATCAAAACCGTGAGTCGGTGGGAGGAAGGCTAACAATCATGAATTCATTCTCAAAGCCTCGTTTTCACAAGCGAGAAAGCATCTGTCAAGGAGTTTACCAGAGAACAAGGATAATGGTGTCGTAAGACAACATCTAGTGTCGCCTTTAACCCCAGTGCCCCTATTAGTGCACCTGCATTAAATGCGATCATGCGTTTGACATCCCGACACGTCAGGGGCCAGACTTCAGCATGAAAATTTGGTGCAATAAATTATAGAGAATCATAATTCAAATAATAGCATGCCTGCGGTTTCTGAGCTTCCATGCAAACCCCAATCAAGGCCATGTTGCTGTGATGAGTCATCGCTCTATCCAGCTGTCCACGGGGCATACATCTGATTAGCAAGCCCACACTCACCCGGTAGGCGCAAATGTAAATATTGTAATAAAACCCTTAGTAATAACTCCCGTGTCTTGGAGAGGCTTCACTTTATTTATTTTTCCCCACATTTCAGCGATATTGTTTGAAGGAGACTGCATACTTAAATATCAGTTATTAAAGCGAACGTTCAGGTGTGGGTTTCCAGAAACCATTCTTCAACTTCAGGCTATTTTAAATCTCCCAAGAGGAGCTACTTGCATCATTAGTGTAATTATCCTTCACATCATTGTTGGAGTTATTTACCATCAAAGAAGTGGGTGTTTCGTTTCACCTACAGAGCTGCAGAGTGGCACGCTGCTTGGTGACTAATACGCCGCAATATTTACAGTTTTTTTTTTTTTTCCCCGTGTCCCTGAAGCAAGAATAGAGAGTTTTCAAAAAAGAAATAGCAAATGGCATGCAAATCAAAGTTCAAGGGCTGCTGTAGAGGTTGCGTTTCCTGCAGTGGTTCAGAACAATGCATTTCTTAAAAGATTTCCAAACAGGAAGCGCAAAAGTGATCAGCATGCATCACCTTTTGTGGGTCAGGGGAACGCTTGAGGGCCTCAGCTGAGCTCCCACTAAGAGGCTGTCCCCTCTTTGCCAGCTTAGCCACCTGGTACAGCCATGATACATTTGGCTAATGATGTCACGGACTCCCTTTCATGCCGCGCCTCTACCACCATGGCCCAATTGTCTATTCATGAGAGTAATGAGAAGTCAGGGAGAGGGAGAGTGAGAGACAGACAGAGAGAGACTTTGCTCATGGCCACTGATAACCCCAGACTAAACTTGCAACCTTACGAGGCTCGGGCTTAATATCTGGCCGTCAATCAGCTCTGCCATCCCTTGCAGGAGTGTTTAATTACAGAGATCAATTATTCACCAGCCTCGTCTTTCAATGGGCCACACTCCTCGAAAAAATACTGCCACAGGCTGAAGCAGGAGACAACGGCTTGCCAGAACAGACCAGAAATATCCTGAGTACAGCATGTCCACCAGGAGAATGCAGTCTGCACCTTACCTAAGCACACAGACCTATTTGCCATGCATGACCGGTGCGAGTGTAACATTACATGAAAATTTATTGAGGTCTGCCGCCTGTCCTACTGGCCCTTTCAATGCGCTGACGTCACGGCTTGTTGATAAATTCCACAGCGAGAGCATTGCCGATTGCCGTCATCGGGTTTTTCGCGGCTGGCCGGTTTATACAAAGTATTAAAGGAGTAGTTCACCCATTCAAGAAAATTGTGTCATCATTTACTCACCCACATGTTCAGTGTTGTTTTGGACCCCATTGACTTACACTGTTTGAACAAAAACGGTTTAAACATTCTTCAAAATATCTTCTTTTGTGTTCTGCAGAATAAACTAAATTCATACAGGTTTGGAACTATATGAGGGTGAGTAACTGAAGATAGAGTTTCCTTTTCTGCCCAATCTATGTCTTTAATTTTTGGTGCCACCTGTTGCATTGGCCCAAAAAAAGTAAAAATCCAAAGTATTGGTGGTGTGAACAAAAGAGATGGACACGTATGACACTGACAAAGGGGGAAAAAAGGTGTTTCCAGGATGGGCATCTTGTCAGAGGGTCCCTTATTGTAGGAACCCTTTCTTCATGCAACTCTAAGAGCTTACCCCATTATCGCCATCTAATTCAGAATCACTGAAAGATAAACTGTTCAACTGACCCCAGATCAGCCCGAAAGGTAACTTCAGCCAATTCCCGAATCCTCACCCGTTTTCCAGACTGACAGCTCATTAATCTCCCTTGGCTGCAATCCTTCCTCCCTGGTGACAGAGCCTGAGCCAGAGAATAGGATTCCCCTATGCCTGGCTGTGTCCATCCCCGCTGGTCCACCTGCCTGGATCAAACACCCTCCACAGGAAGGGGACAAGACGGTAAAGACTAGAAAAGGGGGGCGTTGGGGGATTTCGACGTGCAATAAAACAAAACAAATCACTTCCTGTCAGGGTGTGTCTTTACTGAGTGGGCGTGCAAATGTGTGTGTAACCAGGCGCTAAGAGCAGGGCCAGTAAATGAGACAGGACATGAATAAAGCAGCGGCTGGCTTCGATTGTTCGTGGGCAGGCTCCAGGGGAAAGCCAGTACAGAGGAATCTATCACAGGAGATTGGCTAGGTCGTGGGTGGACGTCACCAAGTAAAAAGGCCCTTTGGTGAGATCTGAGAATGGGCCCACCAGATCGCAGTGTATGAATCTAATAGACAATAACGTATGCCCCTTCACCAAGGAAACTGGAGAGAAATACACATTGCAAACTGTCAATAAGAATCAGTCTTTTGTTTATAAGATCACCTCAGGACAGTCTAACACAATTATGTGTTGAGGGGGGCGAGCTGAAGTTTAAAGTTGAAATACTT